GGGCCTGGGCTGAGCCTGCACCCCAGGAGCACCCACAGCCTGGCGGGGCAGCCCTGGCCGGCTGCCGGGGTCCCCTGGGGGTCAGCTGGTGGGTACACCATTCTCCCCGTCTGAGCTGGCGTGGCGGCCCACGCAGCCAGAGGTGTGAGCTGAGTTTCCTCCCCGCCTCCCCCGCTTTCCCTCAGAAGATCGAGGAGCAGAAGAAGTGGCTGGACCAGGAGATGGAGAAGGTCCTGCAGCAGCGGCGGGCGCTGGAGGAGCTGGGGGAGGAGCTCCACAAGCGGGAGGCCATCTTGGCCAAGAAGGAGGCCCTGATGCAGGAGAAGACAGGGCTGGAGAGCAAGCGCCTGCGGTCTAGCCAGGTGAGGTCCTGCCAGGGGAGGTCCTGCCAAGTGAAGTCTAGCCAAGTGAGGTCCTTCCAGGTGATAACCCTGCCAGGTGAGTTCCTACCAGGTCAAGCTCTGTCCTAGTGGGCTATATCCTATCAAGAACTCTAGGGCCTTCGGCTGTTGATGACACAGGTTCTGCTCTGTGGGTAGAAGAACCTCTCCAAGTATCCATCCCACGATTCACTTCCCCCGTTAGCCACCTGCCCTGGGACTGCACAGGCAGAACAAGGATCAGCAGGTATAGGAAGGTGGGATGGCCAAAGAGAGAGTCTTCCCTGGCGCCAGAGGCAGGCAGACCTGGGCTCACGGACCTGGCCCCGCCAGCTCCACCTGGCTTTCTTGCTCCCTCGTGAGTAGGAAGCTTCTGAGCCACAGTCCCTCCTCCATCAAACAGAATCATCGTGTTGCCATGAGGATCAGGGCGGGTGTCAAACACACCACCCAGAGCCTGTTCCCAGAGCGGGTGCTCAGGCTCGAGTCCACAGGGTTCCAGACCCCCTCCTGCCGTGGCGGAGCCCTCAAGTCCAGGAGGGGTCAGGGTGCTTCTGGAGCATCTGTAACTTCCCTTGGCCCTTAGAGCGCTCACTTCCTCCCACCTCAGATCCTGGAAGGGCCTTCGAGGTTTGCCCACTGGTTTCCCATAATTCCCGTCACAGACTCTCCAGTCAAGTCATCGCAGTGATGGGCCACCGCCCTGCTGTGCCTTTGCCTATGTCATCCCCTCGTCAGGAGTACTTTTTCCTCTGCTCGTCTGTATCCTCCTCTTGTGCCATCTCTGGGGGCCCCTCCACAGGGGCTCCGGTCCCATCAGCCCCCACTCCCCGAGCTTCCGTGGAACTGAGTCAGGCCCCCCCTGCTGACACCACTCCTGGATCGTAGGATCCTTGAGGGAAGGGCCTGCGGCCTCCTCCGCATCCCATGGCTGGGCTGGGCCATTTCTGTCACCCGTGTGGGGATAGCCCGCTCCTTCCCTGATCCCTGGCGGTGCTGTCCGCAGGCCCTCAACGAGGACATTGTACGCGTGTCCAGTCGGCTGGAACACCTGGAGAAGGAGCTCTCGGAGAAGAGCGGGCAGCTGCGGCAGGGCAGCGCCCAGAGCCAGCAGCAGATCCGTGGGGAGATCGACACTCTGCGCCAGGAGAAGGACTCGCTGCTGAAGCAGCGCCTGGAGATCGACGGCAAGCTGCGACAGGGCAGCCTGCTGTCGCCCGAGGTACGCCCCGTGGCGTCCGTCTGTCCGTCCATGCTCTGCAGCCTCCTGGCTCTGGCTCTGTGTCAGGCACTGGGCCTTTGGGACACGAGTTCCTCCTGTGTGAGCCCACAAAGCTGGGGGTGGGGGCTGGGCAGTGAGCTGGACGGGCCCGGCCTCGCCGCCCTCCCACCACCTTCCAGCTGGAACCTGGCTCCTTCGTCCGGCGCAGCATCACCACGTGCCTGCCCATCGCGGCTCCTGGTGTAGAATGAGGGTCAGGAGCGCCTCGTGTACCTGTGGCCGCATACGTTTGCCCTCCCTGGGCAGTGGAGAGCCCGTGTTGGGATGACTGACCCAGCAGAGCCACTGGGCCTCTGGGAAGTCCCGCCATGCCTTCTTGGTGCAGGGTACTCTTGAGTTTCCTGAGCGTAGATCACTCGAAAGGCCATCCGTGCCCTTCAGCAAGCGGCCTCCTCGCAGAGCCCTGCCTCCCCTGGGCTGGGGCTGTGACGGGGCTTCCCTGTTCCCGCCACAGTGGGCAGGGGCGCCTGTCCTGACGTGCTGACCATGTGCTCATGACGAGGGGTCACTTACAGGCTCGGCTGTGGCCACGTGCTGACCGTCGTGTGTCTGCCTGGACTTCGTTGTCCAGAGCACGGGGGTTCCGCAGTGCAGGAAGCCAGGCTTCCCCTCATGCATGCCACGTACTCGCAGGAGGAGCGGACGCTATTCCAGCTGGATGAGGCCATCGAGGCCCTGGACGCAGCCATCGAGTACAAGAACGAGGCCATCACGTGTCGCCAGCGGGTGCTGCGGGCCTCGGCCTCCTTGCTGTCCCAGTGTGAGATGAACCTCATGGCCAAGCTCAGCTACCTCTCGTCCTCCGAGACCAGGGCCCTGCTCTGCAAGTACTTTGACAAGGTGAGTCACTGGCCGTGGAGCCCCTGCCGCCTCCATCTGGAACGCCTGTGGGGAAGGTGTGATGGCAGCTCTAGAAGGGACTGTTTCCTCTCAGATGGGGAACAGGATCAGGACAACTCCCGTCCGTCTCCAGGGCTGCCTCCGACTCTCCTCTTTAAGGCCTGCTTTACTCCGTGAAACCAAGCCCCAGGCTGATTGGCCCTCTCAGGGCGGCCCTGGCCCAGAGCAGTGGTTCTCGGCAGGGAGTGATTTTGCCACCCAGGGGACATTTGGCCATATCTGGAGATGCTTTTCATTGTCATGACGTTAGGGGTAGAGGCCAGGGATGCTGCCAAACATCCTACAATGCACAGGACAGAGCCCTGCCCGACAAAGAATGATCTGGCCCCAAATGTCAACTGTGCAGGTTGAGAAATCCTGGCATCGAAGAAGCCCCGCAGCTGGAGGCTCTGCCTGGTGGCTTAGTGCGTGCCTGGGGACAGAGGTTGAGGCAGGAATGGCAGATCCGACTCATCTGGAGAGCCAGCTCTCATTTGGAAATCGCTACCTAGAACGCTGTTGAGAAGCTGTCTGAGGCCGAGCCTCGGCAGGAGCCCCCGTTATTTCCTAAGACACCTGCCATGGTGGGGTGGTGGCAAGTTTGCCAGATTTCTGTTGTTCCCGGGTGAGGAGTGCTTGGTGAAGGGAGCCAGTGCTGGGGGCTGAGCCTGGTGGGGTCTTGGGACAGGTGGTGACGCTCCGAGAGGAGCAGCACCAGCAGCAGGTTGCCTTCTCGGAGCTGGAGATGCAGGTCGAGGAGCAGCAGAGGCTGGTCTACTGGCTGGAGGTGGCCCTGGAGCGGCAGCGCCTGGAGATGGACCGCCAGCTGACCCTCCAGCAGAAGGAGCACGAGCAGAACATCCAGCTCCTCCTGCAGCAGAGTCGAGGTGAGGCGCCCCTGCTGACCCGCGCACAGGCCCTGGCCCGCCCGAGGCTGCGGCGGCTGCTGCCTGCCCGCAGCCCTCACATGCTCTTCTCCGCCTTCACCCCCAGACCACTTTGGTGAAGGGTTAGCAGACAGCAAGAGGCTGTATGAGACGAGGATCCAAGCTCTGGAGAGGGAGCTGGGCCGCCACATGTGGATAAACCAGGAGCTGAAACAGAAGCTCGGTAGCTTGAGTGCTGCGAGCCAGAGCAGGGGTAATTGTTATCTGCAGTTCTCCAGCTAGGCCTGCCTCCCCTGCCTTGCAGCGTCAGCTGATTCCTGTTTTGGGGAAAGCTTAAAACCACCCTAACGGCAGCTCTTGCTGGGTCTTCACACGTTGCTTGTTGCACTGGGCGTTGGAAAGCTCGGACTTCAGGAAGGAGCTGCTGCCTCCCTTTCTGACAAGGATGTTGTTCTTCTCGGTGACAGGTGGCGAGAAGAGGACCCCGTGCCTGGAGAACAGACAGCCGCCTGGAAGTGAAGATGAGCTCCACCCAGCACCTGAGCTTTGGCAGTGCCCCCTCACTGAGGGCGCCCCCCGAGCCCGGGAGGAGATGCGGGACTTGGTCCACGCACCGTTACCGCTGACGTGGAGACGCTCGAGCCTGTGCGGTGGCGAGGAGCAGGGTTCCTCTGAGGAGCTGCGGCCACGGGAGGCCGAACCCCTGGCGGGGCGGGTGCTCCCCATGGGTGAGGGCGGGCTGCCCTGGAACCTTGGGCCATTGCCCAAGCCCCGGCGCGAACTGCGGAGAGCCAGCCCGGGGATGATCGATGTCCGGAGAAACCCGCTCTAGGCTCCGGGCCGAGGGCCTGGCGGGGATGCAGAGCCTGCCCAGTCATGCGGCAGCCCGGTCGCCTCCGTGAGGGGCAGTCTGTGCCTCTCTCAGTCAGTCCTGATCTGCACGCTAATTAGTCAACAAATGTGGGCCACAGCCCAAAGGAACTGGACTCAAAACATTTTTTAAAACATGCAGATTCCTACCAGTCACTTCCTGTAAGCTGTGGTACCCAATTGCCGTCTTGTGGCTTGAGTTTTAGGACAGTTCTGGTCTCCAGCCTATGTGGATGGGCCATTGGCTCTGGGGTTCAGCCAAGGCTTGTCACAGAATGGTCAGTGGCACCAGGGTTGTGGTTGAAATGTCTTATGTATATGGGGGGAATCGGGAAACCTAGCATATTTGTAGAATTTTGTAAAACAATTTTATAATAAACAGGAATAATCTCTGAAGGGAGAAATGGGAGTGTCCACTTGGTAGCAAGAATCAGGTTTGGGAACACAACAGGCTTGAAAGCTTTTCCGTGACCAGGAGACAATTCTGAGTCAGCCTCACTGTTGGCCAGGCCCCTGGCCAAGATTCGACAGCAAGCTGGTCCACGGGTGCTCCAGGCAGACCCATGACTTGGGTGAGTTTCCCTTGGATGGTGGACTGACTCTCAGCGCAGCCACTGAGATGTGGCTGCCCCAGCAACCAATAGAGGTGGACCGTGGTCATAGTTAACCTCGGGCTGGAGCATTACACAGAAATGCACTGAATGCGAAATAACCAGAGATGATTTTATTGTTACATAGAGAATGCAAAAAATTTATTCTGAAACCTGCCACAGTCGTTTTGTATACGGTGCTTCAGTTTACAAGCACTGCCTCTGTCTTGGGGTCCCCACCTGACAGAAGCTCTGCAAGGGACCCGTGTTGGGGTCCTTTCTCCCACTTAGCAAGTGAGGCAGAGTGGTCCTCTGACTTGCCACGGTCACCGTTTGGGAGGGCTGGAGTGGGACCCTGGTCTTACAGTTCTTTTTCTGGTTCCTGACTGCCATGCTGCCTGAGTCCCACCAGCTAGACCACCTCCCTAATGTGGGCAGGTGTGGTGGGTTAGGGCGGGGCCTGGGGCAGACAGATTCCAGGAGGGGAATTTGAAAATCCTAAGGCGTTCCAGTGGGAATCTGAAAGCTGCCCGTGGTAAACGAGGCTTGAGACCAGGCCCCCAGTTTCCTTATGCCCATGGGGACCTGGCTGACTTCACCTTCATCTTTTGAACACCCTCTGCTCCATGAAGCCCTGGTCGTTCCTGTTTCTGTGCAGCGAGCCCAGGGTTACATGTGATGCTGATCGGTGGGCCCTGGCTCAGATGAACTGAGTTTCTGGGCACACTGCTGAGAGTTCCTCTATGGCATGCGGCTGGAGTTCCTGATACATCCAGAGAAAACCGCCTCAGAGCACTTCTGTCCCGGGAATGCAGTGGCTCTGGACGGCTCAGTAGTGTCTAGTTCAGTCCCCCAACCAGTCCCATCCTGACTAGCTAATCAGCTTCTTCCGTGTGTAAGTTCTACTGATGGGGCGTCTCCTGGAGATCGCTCGGCTGAAAGGAGATTCTTCTGCCGTGGGGGGAAATACTTCCATATCCTCATCTAGAAAAAGGCAGAAAGGCTTAGCACGCAGGAAGTAACTGCGGACAGGACAAAGGAAAATGGGCTTGAACTGCAGAGGGTTACACATGAAGATGGACTGAGGAAAACCAGCACTGCTCGCAGGTTCTCATGCTGCAGGAATGCGACCTACACTTTGAACGAGGCCCGACCCCGTTATGTCAGCACTGAGCTGACAGCAAAAAGTAACTGTGAAAATGCCAAGTACCTGGGTACTTCCGTTTATAGTCTGCACATTCTTTCTGTCTCAGATCTGTGGACTTTTTGCTGTTTTGCATGATTCATATTATAGTCTTGAGGGAAGAGAACCACCAAAGGGCCCCCCTCCTGCTCTCCCCTCCAGTTCTAGCAGGAGACCCTTCTAACCTGTAGTTCCCAGGCTCAATCCAGCTCTCTTCAGGTGGCAGGAGGAAAGGGGAACCCTAGAGTCCAAAGGCTGATTGCAACAGCCAGCCCTTCGTCACGCGGGATGCACAGAAACGCAGGGTATAAACCCGCTGCGGGGAAGGGCGGCTCTGCACACACCGCCTGCGCTCGAGCTGCTCTCAACACCCCCCTCAGAGCCCAGAGATGCACACGAGCTTTGGTCACCATTTTCAAGAAGGTGCAGTATTATGGTAGGATTTTGAGGGGGTTTCTGTTCAAACGCACAGAAGTTCTAATGTGGAGTTTCTCTGGAAAGGGCACATGACACTGTAGGGACAAAACGATCTGTCCCATACTCGGGCATGCACTCTGACTCCAAAATTCAACTGCCTGGCAACCCTGAGCTACTTTGGGCAGTCCCCCAAAGGACAGAATTTTGCTCCCGGTAAGTCTCCAGGACCTTCCACAGATTACCTCTGGCGTCTTTACACTGGGAGGAGCGCGTCCTCCCCTGGAACAGCAACGGAGACTGGGTCAGAGCCTGGAGACCGCTGGCAGAGAGGCAGCTCCACATGGCACAGCCAGCGGGTGGCGTGGAACCTGAGGACGGCACAGGGTCAGCACGGCCCCACGGGCCCCGAACCAGGAAGCCTGAGCCTCCTTAAGAAGCAACTCCTGAATGCTGCCTCACCAGGCGCTGTCCAAGGCCCCCACGCGGCAACACTCACCTGAACCAAACACCTCGTCGTCGCCCATGGAGGGGAGCTGGCGCGCACTCGCACTGGGGGACCTCGCCTCACTCTTACTGACTTCTGAGTCTCCTCTCTGCTTGTCACAGACTCTTTTGGCCTGACCCTCGGCTTCCTCCTTGGCAGAGAGGAGTCTCTTCCTGGAACCCAACCCAAACTGTCCCCAGGAGAAGGCTTCCTCAGCCTTAGGCACACTGTCCCTGGGAGGCGACTGGTCTGGCAGCTGACACACCCCCTCGAGCTCAAAATCCCCCAGGACAGGAGTCTTGTTGACGCTGAGTTCGAGGCCTTGCTCCTTCCCCTCTGGCTGGAGCAGTGACAAGCCCCCAGGAGGGTCTGTGCTGATGTCACCCCGCCCCGCGGAGGTGCCACCGCTACAGTCCACTGCCCTCTTTCTCCGGGGCCAGTCTTTAATCGTGTCAGGAGTTGTCTTCCCACTGTGTTTGGGAGATGGTGTCCAAGGAACCCCAATGTCTGTCTGAAATGGAGAGGGGGTGCTAGAGGGGCAGCGGGTCGGGGTACAGGACTGGCAGATGTAGGTTTGTCCCCCACTCTTGCCGGGGGTGCTGTGCGAGGGGTGAAGGCAGGGGGGTGACACGTAGGTGGTCTCGGGTTTGCCTGAGGGCTTGCTGCCCCTGGGCACGCTGAGCTCAGGGTGGGGGTGCTCCTCTCCCAGGGAGCTCTCCTCTCTTCTGAGGGGCTCAGCTTCTGACAAAGGGCTGGGGTCGATCTTCTTAATTCGAAGCTTGGGAAGGCCGGAAGCTTGCATCTCCAGCTCCACCTCGTAGGTCTGTGGGCGGGCAGAGGCTTCCGAGAGCCAAGCTGAAGCCTGCAGGTTCTCCAGTTGTGCGGCAGCCTGGCGCTGCCGTCTGTCTGCCGTACGGCGCAGGTCGTAGGAAGGCATCAGGGGAGAGCTGGGCCCGGGGGAGGCAGGAGAAGGAAGAGTCCCAGGGGTAGACAGAGAAGGCTTGTCATCAGCAACCACCATCCTTAACCCCTCATCTTCTTCCACTGGAGAAACGTCACTCTCCAAGCTATCACTGCCACGACCCTCAGCTTCGTCCAGAAGAGTGAGATACTCCGTGTCACTTGCAATAAGCAAAGGAGAGGACATATGCCAGCCATTCCTGAAACCGCGCCCGGGGTAACCATGTCTTTCAGGAGAAAACTGAGGAGAGGGGTTCACTTCCTTCTCGTCCTTTCCAGCACCAGTAATGGCAGGTGGGCTGTCAGTTACGCCAACCCTAGGAGTGACAGACGTGTTAGGCTGGCACTCCAGGAAGCTTCTTTCAGGATTAGAGGTCTTTCTATGCCTTTTCCCAACTTTAGAAGGCGGTGGAGGGGGCACGGTGTCAGAGTTAGCCATGTGTGAGATTTGACGGGGAGTTGAGGGAGCAGGACGGGCGAGAGACATGGCTGCACTGGGTGATGTCCAGGACTCTTTCCAATCCAGTTCTCTAGGGGGAGGAGATTCTGTTGAAGATTTCCTAGATGGACTCATGGAAATATCCCACGAAGGAGAGGTAGAACGGTTCTCTGGAGAAATAGGTGGGGAAGAAGTCATAGCTGTGTTCCCTGGTCTCTGCGGGCTTTCAACAGCTCTCTCCTCCCACGTCTGTGCTGGTCCCTCTGCCTGAGAAGCTCCAGGGACAGGGCGACGCTGGTGTCTCTGATTTGGAGGTGTGGCCGTGAAGGCAGGTTCTCTTCGCACGCCCGAGGCTGCTGCTCTCGGAGGCGTTCTGAGGAAGCATCGGGCCGGAGTCAGACACCCATCCCCGGCCCAGGTGGAGGGCGGAGCCGAGACTGCCGGACAGGAGGTGCTTTCTGGACCGGAACTCACCGATGGGGGCCAAGCGGAATTCTGCAGACATGCAGGTGGCTGAGCTCCTGGCCTGTGGGGAGTTCTCGGCACTCTTTCGAGAGGAGAGGCAGCTCCTTCTGCCACTCCTTTCTGAGGAGTGACTTTTGGTTGAGAGGGTGAATCCCAGCCATGTGACGAGGAGTCTTTTGAGGACTCCTTGAAAAGGACCTGTCTGGCAGGTGTCTTTTCTGTGGGGGATTTTTGCAGCCTTTCAGGGGTGCACAATGGAGTCTGTGGTGTACGAGGGAACCTTCTTGGTGTTGCTTTAGAAAAGCTTGGAGATTTCTGGTAACTCTTCTTAGGAGTCTGTAAAGGAAAATGCTATTTCAGTGCTTGATCATACTCATATTCTCTAAGGAGTGTTTAGTAATCTCTAAGACGATTAGAAAAGCAAACAGGAGATTTATAGTCAGCCAAAGGAATGAGCTTCAGCTGGTTTTCAAATAGTGACTGTCCACTTCCTTTACATGACTCAGATTTTACTTGGCCACTTTTTCCAGCACCAACCATTGTATACAGTCTTAGTTTGTTCTCCTAAGACAAATGAATAATCTTAATAATTTGCATGCTGCAGCTAGCACACGCTGTGCCTCTAACTGTATCACTACACCTCTCAGAGCTGTCCTCGTCCTCAGTGAGACAGCTATGTCTGACCTTTGCCCACAGCAGCTTCTAGGTGCCACACCAGCTGCTGTTCACCCATATTCCACTCGTGCATCTATGTGCCAGGCAATGTGTGTGTGTGGGGGGCAGGGGGCCAGAGCATGGAGCACACAGATATAAGGCACAGCAACAAAGAGAACATCTCAGAAAGGACACCCTCCCCCAAATTTTCCTTCTTTCTGGCAAAAATTCAGTTAAACACTTCAACAGGCAAGGAGGTCAGATACCTGTCATTTCTATAACCTTATTTGATCATCTCAAGGGAATCCTAGTCTAGTTAGCATTTCATGTCCAGTGCGGTATAGACAGATGATAATACAGTGTGGCCAAAGCAATGACAGGGATGTGCATGCGGCAATATGGGAGCACAGGGGAGGGCTGGCTGTCTAACCCAGTAGGCAGAGGGGGACAGGAATAGCAAGTCAGGTCTTCAAGAATGGGTGTCAGCGGGTGAAGGCAAAAGGTGAGGAAGCGGGGTAGAGGGCACTTTAGGCACAGAAAACAATATGAGCAAAGGCACAAAAGCAAAAACAGCCGTTGTGTGCAGGCCAGCGTGCAGCCTAATGCTGCTGAGAAGAGTATGAAGCACAGAAAGGTGAGGGCCGAGGCCAGCCAGGCCAGCAGAGACCAGACTGCAGAAGCCCTTGCCTGTCTGGGAGGAGACTGAACTTCGCCCTGTAAATCTGAGGTTTTCAAACACTTCCCCACAGCTCCCTGTCCTCTCCCAACCTCTAAGCAGTTTTTTGGGTTTCCAAACAAAGATTATTATTTTTGAACACAGGGTACCATTTTAGGAAAACATGGAAAACCCTGTTTTAAACAAATGAAGAATCTATAGAGCTTCAAGCAAAGTGATGTGGTCAGAGGAGCATCTGATGTGGTCACAGAGGTCACCCTCACCTCTGGGGGCCAGACAGACTCGAGAGGAAAAAGGCTGTTGAAACGTTCCAGAAGAATTGAACTAGGGCAAGAACTGCAGGGAAGGAGAAGAGGGAATGCTGTAAGACAGTTCGTAGATGAAATGGGCAGGCTGGATGGATCGGCTAGGCCTGGGGAGAGGGAGAAGTCAAGGATGACTCCCAGGTTTCTAACATGGGTCACCGGATTGAGGGGGCAACCTGAGGGAAATAGATGAATGAGACGGCACATTTCAGAAAGATACAGATGTCGTGTATGATACAAACAGTGGATGAAGCCAAGAGTAGATGTGATCATTTCCATCTCCTCCTCACACCTTGGCCTCAGCCAAACTGCTGCCTCAAGTCCTCATATACCCAGTATGTATTCATCTGGCTCAGCTCAAACCGCCCCAGATCTCTTTTATTATCTATAGATCACCTGCTTTCTCTTCCTTAATGGGCTCAGTGGGTTTCCTTGGTCATGTCTCTATGTTCCCCAAGACTATACTATTTTAACATTATAGAAATTTTATACCTGATAAGCTGTAGGTATCTCAGAACCCAGCGTGTTTCTTGAAGGCCTTTTAATTTGAGCTGAACCCTTCTCTGAGGGACTGATCACCTCAGACAATGCCCCGAAAAGAAGGCTCTTGGGAGACCGAATACTTTGGATTGGAGAATTTTCTCTTTGGTCTGCAAGTCAAAAACAGTGACGACATTTAATTCAACTCCTGCCCTCCCCAAACTAATAAAACAGCCAGTCCATACAAGAAAGAAGACAATAATTTTTGAAACCAACTAGAGGGAAGATCCCACCTAATTACATCAGCAACTGCAGTGACTGTGGCCATCTTAAATTTTAATGAGACTGCATATTTAACCCAGCCCCTATGTTAGGCAATGTAGGTGACTAAAATAATTTAATTTGTAATATCTGATGATCCAAGCTAATGATGGATAAAAGAATGAAGAACATACAAACAGATATCACCTGGGACAGCTGTGTGTAGGATCTGAACATACAGTGGGAATTACAGGTAATTTCCCCTGGAAGGAATGACTACCTACAAGGATAGTTTGGATGACCAGTTGTAGGAATCCAAAGGGATGACTCTGATAATGAAGGCCATGGACTGCTCATCTGGTCAGTACCCTGAACCTCAAATATACATATTTATTCTACTTCTCCAATGTCAAGAAAGAATATGTCAAATTTCATATTTCTTTTCCCAAAAATACTTCCCACCAAGTTGGCACGGACTTCTGAAGACAAGCGGGCAAGCACATTACCTAACTTGTCTTGCTGGAAGGAGTGAACTCTTTGCACACTTCGGGACTCTGGCTGAGACACAGAATAGAAGGAACCAGAATTTGTCCTGCTCAATGACAACTGCTTGATTCGAGGACTTCGTCTCAAACTTATTTCTACAAAACCAGAATCACAACCACAATAAGAGAGAAATGCAAACTTGACATTTTCCCATGTATGAAATGAGTAAAATTTATATAATACCACATACAAGATGGAAAGTTGACAAGCTATTGGCTTTGAGACTTCTGAAGCGTTGTAACAAAGATAAGAGGGATATGATATACAGCCCCAACAAGGTACAAAAAAACACTGACCCACTAGGCTGTCACCTCCAGAAGTCTCATGAACTGCCACTTTTAAGTATGATGTGGGGTAAAAACAGGTTTGTAAAATATAGTGTGACTTTTGCAAAAAATTTTTAAAATTTAAAAATTGTAGTTTTCATGTGTATATTACATATATTTGTATAAAAATAACACCTGTAAGAATACAATTAGAGCTAAAATGTTAACAGAATATTTCCGAGTTGTGAAATTACTAAGTGATTATTATAATTTTGGGTTCTCTATATTTTCTGAGATTTCTACGATAAGTGTAAATTACTTGATTAAAAGAAGTTAGTTTTTGGAAACCCCTCCTTCGTCATATATACACTTTAAAAACAACTCACAGCACTTTGCATTACATAGCAGGTTAGCCCTCACTCTGAATTCCATTTCTATTGTGCAAAAATATTTCTTCTCCAGAAACTCTCTCAGTACATTCTATGCAAAAGACGTTTCACCAATAAATGTTTACTGATGTATTCTGTGGGCTCAGAGCTGTCACAATGTCTGTAAAATATCTTAGGATATGCTGAGCGACGATATAAGTACACAAAGGTTTTCACAGAAAGTAGATAAAACACCTCCCCCACCCCCCAAAATAAAACAAAAGAAATGTAGGTAATACCACCTTCTTTTTCTGGGGACTCTTCAACAACGTCAATATCAGGACCAGGATCAGAGGATCTTGAGGAACAACAAGCACAAAGATTATTCAATATCACTCATAATTAATGCACATTAAAGAGATACAGCTTCTCACCTCACAAGGTAACAAAGCCCACAAGGTTTGGTAACACCAGTGTTGGCAAGCACTCTCATACATTACTGTTAAGAGTGAAATGGGTAGAAGATATTTTTTGGAAAGCAGTTTTACATCAAAATTATTTTAAAACGCACATACTTTCTGACCCACAAATTTTACTTCTTGCAATTTATCCTGTAGACAAACTTGCACAAGTGTGTAAAATCTGTGCACAAATAATGTCAAGATGGAGCCTTGACAAGATGGAGTAGATGCACTTCTCCCTATTCTGCCTGTTCAGTACAGCTAAAAACCCTGACATCATATATAAAGCAAATGTAAGATGACTCTCAGAGGTGGAAAGAAGAGGCAGACGGCTGGGGACGTCAGGACCTGAGGGGAGACAGGGCAGGGAGGTCCTGCTGACTCCTTTTTGCTTCATAGGTCCCAGATTGGGTGCTGGAGAAGCTGACAACCCGAACACACAAGAGGTGCAGACAAGAACTTCCCTAAGGAAAGCCAGCTCTGTCTTGCCAAAGAACCTGGAAAGGGGCAGCTAAGCAAGATAAATGCTACCCTAATCCAACCAATTGCCATGAAAACTGGCCCCTCATGCCCCTGTCAGCACAGGCCAAGGTGGGACCCTAGACTTCCAGCTTGCCTCCCTCTTTCCCCACGTCAACACAAGAAGATATTTAAAAATTGTGGACTACCATTCAATAGAATACTACTCAGCAATAAAAAGAGATGAACTATTGATACATGCAACAAAATGGATAAATCTCAAAACAATTATGCCAGGTCAAAAAGGCCAGACACAAGAGCACATTCTTATGGTCCTCTAGCCCACCGAGCGTATAGACTGCTCTTTGGCTACAAGTAACACAGTTAAGACTTGAGTCACGAAGGTCATGAGAAGGTAAACAGTGGCCCTCAAGATCATTTGGAGAGCTGTGTGGGGTATGAAGAAGCTGGACAAGGATGTCACTCACCTGCCCTTGATTTGTCTATGAAGCAGCCTTCTGGAGATTTGCTTATGGATTGGAGTCTCAGCCACACTCTTAGTCAGCAGTTTGTGATAACCTAAAAAGTAAACAGCATAAATGTCACTTAACCTTATCAAGAAGCAGCTGCAAGACAGAGGGAGCTGGTCGAACTCGTCCACTGCACACTGCTTAGCTGAAGTAGATCTCAATGGTCTTTGGACTAGGGTCTAACCATAGGACTCAATTTAACACGATACAATAGTTTATCAGAACTATTAGAGATTAAATAATAAACAAGCCAATGTAAAATGTTATAAAACTATTATCAAATACACAATCCTGAAAAAATGAAAAGTGCCTGCTTATTAGGGCTAACATGTCTGTCCACCTAGTTGGTGGTTCATGTATTTAAGATTAAATGAAATAAAGTATATGAAAATGCTGTTATGTCATGCAAATGTTAAGATATTTAATACTAAGGTAAATCTAGCCAGCATAAATTTTCTCCCTAGAACAGGTAGTCAAGCTACTCATGGAGGACTGGTTTTAAGGAAGTTAAAATTGACTAGAAAGAGGAGTGATGTCAGGAGGAATGTGGAATAAGGACCCCTGAAAAAACTCTCCCCATAAAAGGAATGAGAACACCAATTAAAATGGTCAAAATCAACTTTTTCAGAACTCTGGAAATTAACCAGTTTGCAACAATCCAGGGAATATTTATTCAACAAAAACGGCTGAATTTCAGTAAGAATAGTGAGCTTTGTAGAACTGTAACTTGTCCCAGTCCCAAACCCTGCTCTCTAGCCTCATTGCAGCCTTGAGAACCAATAGCCTGCAATTGTGGTGAAAACCAACAGCCCAGGAGCCTCTGGAGGGGGCAGAACAGGACTGAAGCCCCCCAAAGCCCCATTCCCAGAAACTGTCATTATCTGACCTGTCTGCCAGTTCCCTGGAAAATCCCACTCGAAAGGCTCGTCTCTATTTGACCTGACTCGGCACTCACCCAGTGCAAACAACTTTTCCCCAGGGAGCATATACTGAAAACAACCAGCAGCAATTACAAACATCACAGCTGCCTGAGGGAGTGACGACACTCGTGGCAAACAACAGTTGACCAAAAGTTTAAATGGGAAAACGGGGGAATGAGATGTCCAAAGGGGACTCTGCAAACTCACGCATTCCTGGTAACTTAAAAGTCCATGTGCTGTAGGGCTGTGTGCATGCCAGGAAAGACCCGAAAAGGCCCTAAACTGACATCTTTGGCTGATCTTGGGGCTCCTGCCTGGCTGAGTAGTGAAGGCATGAGCCAAGGCACAAACAGGGCCCTCAGCAAAGGCTGGGAGACGTGCTGGTCCCGGGCACTTAAGGAAACCTCTGTCCAACCATCAGCTGACCACTAAGCCGAATGAGCAGAGACTTCAGTAGCTACAATGACAGAAGACAAACTTTAAAGAATTCGTTCAGGAAAGTAACTAAACAAATAAAAGCAATAACACCACCAACAAACCCTGGTAGGGAGGATGGGTGGTCTGATTGCAGAGTTGCCTCATTATATTATTTAAAATGTCCAGTTGTCAACAAAAAATATGAGACATGCAAAATACAAGAAAGTATGGCCCATACACAGGAAAAAAAAAAATCAGTTCATAGAAACCACCCCGAGGAATCCAGATGTGGGATTTATTAGACCAAGACTTTAAATTAGCTATCTGAAATATGTCAGGAGTGGGAGAACCTGATTTCCAGAGTTACCAAATGGTAATATTCAGAATATCTAATTCTCAACAAAGAATTACAAAGTATATAAAGAAACAGGAAAGTACAGCCCATTCCCAGGAAAAAAAGAATCTGACAGAAACCATCTGTGAGAAAGCCCAGACACCAGAGACACTCGTCAAAGATGTTAAATCAAATTTTCTAAATGTGCTCAATGAGCTCAAGTAAACCATGGACAAAGAACTAAAGAAAGTCAGCAAACCAGCGTATGAACAAAACGAGAATATCAATAAAGTGATAGAAATTATAAAAAGGAACCAAACAGAAATTCCAGAGCTGAAAAGTACTGAAAAATAACTGAAATGAAAAATTCACTGGAGGGGTTCAACTTCAGGTTTGAGCAGGCAGAAGAATCAGTAAACCTGAAGATAAGGCAACTGAAATTATCCAATCTGAGCAGAAAAAAACAGAATTAAGAAAAATGAACAAAGCCTGAGGGACCCCTGGGACACCATCAAGCATAATAACATACACATGCTGAGAGTCCTAGAAGGAGAAAAGAGAGAGAAAGGGGCAGAAAATAATTTGAAGCAATGATTGAAAACTTCCTAAATATGATGAAAGACACGAATCTACACGTCCAAGAAGCTCAGTGAACTCTAAGCAGGATAAACTCAGAGACCCAGATAGACTATAGTCAAATTGTCAAAACCCAGAGCCCAAGAATCTCAAAAGCAGCCACAGACAAGCAGCTCAGTAAGATGAACAGCTGATTCCTCATCAGAAACGTCAGAGGCCAGAGGGCAGTGAGAGGACCTAAGTAAAGTCCTGAGAGAAAAAAGGCCATCAACCAAGAATTCTACATCTGGCAAAAACTATTCTTCAAGAATAAAGTAGAAATTAAGACATTTCCTGATCAACGAAAGTTGAGGGCTTTCATTATCAGTAGATCTGCCTTATAGGAAATGCTAAAGGGAGTGCTTCAGGCTGAAATGAAAGGACACTAGACAATAACCTGACACCACAAGGGGAAATAAAGGACACTGGTAATGTAACTACACAGGTCAACACAAGAGCCAGTATCATGGTACTTTTGGTTTGCAACTCCTCTGTTTTTCCAGTATGATTTAAAAGGCAAATGTATAAAACAATAATTATAAATCTATGTTAATGGGCACCATTTATAAATATGTAATCCATGACAATAACAATACAAGGAGCAGGGATGGGAATATAGAAGAGCAGAATGTCTGCATACTATTGAAACTAAGGTGGTATTACTCAATGGGTTTTAAGTTTAAGATGTTAATCGTAATCTCCAAAGTAACTACTAAGAAAATAACTAGAAAATACATAGAAAAGGAAAGACAAAGGGAATCAAAAAGATGCACTAGAAAAAAATCAGCTAAATTCAAGAAAGGTAGTAATGGAGAAATAGAAGAACAAAAAAGACATGATATACAGAAAACAAATAGAAAATGGCAGAAGTCCTCCCTTAGTAATTACATTAAATGTAAATGCATCAAGTGCTCCAATTAAAAAGCAGAGATTGGCAGAATGGATTAAAAAAAATATGATCCAATTATATGCTGTCCACAAGACTCACTTTAGATACAAAGATACAAATAGGTTGAAAGTAAAAGGATAGAAAAAAGATATTTTACGCAAAAGAGAACCAGCATGGTTATATTATTGTCAGACAAAATAGACTTTGTCAAACAAAGTTAAAAAATCAAAGTACATTATATATTAATAAAAAGTTCAATCCATCAAGTAGATACAACAATTATAAACATACATAAATCTAACAGCAGAGCCCCAAAATGTATCAAGCAAAAAACTGACAGAACTGAAGGGAAAAACAGATAAATCAACAATAATAGTTGGAGGCTTTAATACTCTACTTTGAATAATGGATAGAACAATTGAACAGAAGATCAGCAAGGAAACAGAAGACTTGAACAACACCATAAACCAACAAGACCTAACAGACATCTATAGGACACTCCATCCAACAAGAGCAGAATGCACATTCTTCTCAAGAACATAAAGAACATTCTCCAGGATAGGCCAAATGTTAGGCCATAAAACAAGTCTCAGTAAATTTAAAAAGACTGAAATCATACAAAGTGTGTTTTACAACCACAATGAAATGAAATTAAAAACAGAAGGAAATCTGGGAAACTCACAACTATGTGGAAATTAACACATTCCTAAATAACCAATGGGTCAGAGAAGAAATCACAAGGGAAATTAGAAAATATTTTGAGATGATGCAAATGAAAACACAACATACCAAACCTTACAGGATATAGCTAAAGCAATGCTTAGAGGGGAATTTGTACCTATGAATGCCTGTATTAAAAAAGAAGATCCCAAATCAGTAACATAACCTTAACCTTAAAAAACTGAAAAAGATCAAACTAACATCAAAGCAAGTCGAGGGAAGGAAATACTAAAAACTATATAGAAAATAAATGAAATCAAGAATAGAAACACAATAGAAAAGTCAATGAAACCAAAAGCTGGTTCTCTGAAAAGATCATTAAATTGACAAACCTTTAGCTAGACTGACCAAGAAAGAGAGGGAACACTCAAATTACTATAAAAGAGGGAATATAGCTACGAACCTTACAGAAATAAAAAGGACTATAAGGAAATACTGTGACCAACTCTGTAACAGCAAATTAGATAACCTAGATAAAATGGACAAATTCCTAGAAAGACACAAATTGCTGAAAACAGACTGAATAATAAACAGAACATCTGAATAAAGCTATAACAAGTAAAAAGATGGAATCAGTTACCAAAAATCTTCCCACAAAGAAATACCCAGGACTAGATGGCTTCACTGTTGAATTCTACCTAAGATTTAAAAAAGAATTAACACTCTAACATATGGTCAACTGATTTGTGACCAGGATGCCAAGAGAATTCAATGAGCAAAAAATAGTCTTTTACAACAAATAGGGCTGGGACAACTGGACAGCCACATACAAAAGAATGATATTGGACTTCTGTTTCACACAAAATAACATACAAAAATTAACTCAAAATAGACCAAAGACCTAAATGTACAAGCTTAAACTATAAAACCCGGATTCAGTAATGGTTTTTTAGATATGACACCAAAAGCACAAGCAACAACAAAAATAGATTAGAGACTTCATCAAAATTACCCAAGATTGGGATAAAATATTGCAAACCATATATCTGATAAGTGACTAGTATCTACAATATATAAAGAACTCTTACAACTCAACAGGAAAAAGACAAATAACCCAATAAAGAAATGGGAAAATATTTGAATAAACATTTCTCCAAAAAAGATATATAGATGGCCAGGGAGCACATGAAAAGATGCTCAACAACATTAGTCATCAAGGAAAAGCAACTCAACCACAATGAGATACCACTTCACACCCACTAGGATGGGTAAAATCAAAAAAAGGGACAAAAGATGGTGACGAGGATATGTGGAGAAACTGGAACTCTCATACATTGCTAGTGGGAATGAAAAATGGTATAGCCATTTGGGAAAACAGTTTGGTGATTCCTCAAAAAGTAAACACAGTTATCATATGACTCAGCAATTTCATTTCTAGGCATATGCTTGAGAATTAAAAACATGTCTATACAAAATATTGTATATGAATGTTTATAGCAGTATTATTCATAATAGTCAAAAAGTAGAAACACCTCGAATGTCCGTCCACCAACTGATGGATTAATAAAATGTAGTTTATCCATACAATGGTATATTATTGGCAACAAAAAGAAATGAAGCACTGAGACATGCTATACCGTGTACAAACCTTGAAAACATGCCAAGTAAAAAAGCCACTTACAAGGACCACATATGGTATGGTTCCACTTAAAAGAAATATCCGTAACAGGAAACTCTATAGAAACAGAAAGTAGACAGCTGGTTGCCTACAGCTAAGAGGGTTGTGGAAATGGGGCGTGACTGCTAAAGGGTATGGGGTTTCTTTCTGGAGTGAAGAAAATGTTCTGGAATTAGTGGTGATGGTTGCACAACTTTATGAATGTACTAAAAACCACTGAACTGCATACTTTAAAAGAGTTGATTGTATGGTACATTAATTATATCTCGATTATTAAAAAAGAACAAAAAAGCAAAAGAAAAACCCAAAAGACTATAAAACAACTGGTTACTACCCTTCATTTCTTTTTAACTGTTTTTATAAAATAGATGCTTGTCTATAGGGGCAACTAGGATGGGAGGATTGAGAGAGACCAGGATGAATTCTTCATCCAAGCTTGGAAGGAGAGAGACTCCAAGGGGAAAATTAACTGATGATAACCACAGAGGAGAGGAAAAAAGATAAGATGAATGAGCTTCTGCAACAAGAGTGTGGGGACTGGTTTGGGTCCAAGAACCTCCTTCTCTTGGTTACCCTAAGATGTAGTACCTTTGGTCCTCTTGAAGTTGTCCTCCAGACCTTCCACAGCTGACACAGAATGGCTTCTAGGCAACCCCCGCTTTACGGATCTCTTTGAAGGAGAAATCATTTCCCGGTTGAAGAGATTTCTTCGAACTTTGGTCACTTCTGAAAGCATTAAAAAAAAAAAAAGCCAAATATTATTGCTAATAAATGCCTTATCTGGGAAGAGAAAGAAATCCAAAACAGAGAAGCTATTTAAGGAAACTATCCTACAGACTGTTTTCTACATTCACATTTACTAATAGGATTTCCTTAAATATTATATTCACATGGTACATTAAAACTATTTGCTCTTACAAATTCAACTTAAATCCAGCTTTTCAGGAGTAAGGAAAGCCCACATCACTTAAATGAAAAGCTTCACTCATTGTAATACGGACATAACCCTTAAGAGAGAGGTTGGCTAATGTGGTCTTGGTCCTTTCACTGTATCCCAGCGTTAGGATGATTTCCTCACTCTGGGCCTCTCTGCTGCTTTGTATTCAGCTCAGCCTCAAGTAGAGAAACTGTTTTTCTCAAGTTCACAGATTTCACTCTTCTTCTCATAAGGATTTTACTAATTTGCTAGCTTATTTTACATTTTCTTCCTAACTCCAGAACATGAGAGTTGTGACCATCTGGACTCAAAGTTAGGAAAACAGCTGAAGAGTCAAGAAATACTTGTCAAAGCTGGCAGGAAGGCATGGTAATCTTAAGCAAGATGGCCTAGTGGAGAGGCCCCTCAAAAATTCACCAAGGGTAAATTGTTCTAAGAGCAAGTTATTTAAATAAAAACCAAATAAACCGGGATCGACCAACTGGGAGGAGCCCTTATGTTTATGTATCAACAACATAAATATTAATGTTAAGGACACTGATAACACACAGCAAAGTTTCAAAAGTTTCTCTGTCTCCATTATGAGTCCCTGTTACCTGCGTTAGGCTCTCTGTGAAACTGATTTATGACCCCATAGCCAAATTTGACTTGTTACTTTCTCTTCTTCCCAAGTTTTTGAAAAGTTTGATATCCACAGAAAATTTCAAAGAACAAACACAGAGTTGTCACTAAAATTCACCACTTGTCAATATTTGTTTTTTCCCTCCACTTCTCTCTGTATTTGTACAATTTTCCACCCCTGAACACCACAGAGTAACTTGCAGACGTCACAACTCTTCAGCATGTGTCTCCTAAGAACCAGGGCCTACTATCTAATCCACCTTTGAATTTCTCTCATTGTCTCAACAATATCCTTTATAGCTTTTTTTTCCCTTTCTAAATTTAAGATCCAAGTCGGGATCATGTAGTGCATTTAGCTATTGCACTAAAACTCCTTTCATCCAAACCAGTTTCACTGACCTTTTTGTTTTTTGGCTTTCATCATAATGGCATTTTAAAAGAGGATTTCAGGCCAGTTATTTTGCGGAATGCAGTATTTTGAGACCATGTGAACATCTTATTCCCTTAGCACACAGTATTTGGATATATTTCATTAACCAACAACTATACAAAACTCTAACTTATAACCATACGCAGCTGCCTAAGTACATGCAATCAAAACAAATTTGTCATTCTAATCAATAAACACAGGGTACACCGAGAAAAGAAAGTGTACCTTGTACTGTATCTTTCCCTGGGAGTGGAGGCTGCTGAAGGGTAGGGTGAGAATTCTCCTGAAAGAAGAGAAAATCCAGCAAGAAAATTTAAATAAGCATTCACTTAAAATATAACAATTGGGGCCAGCCCAGTGGTACAGCAGCTAAGTTTATGAGCTCCACTTCAGCGGCCAGGAATTCACCAGTTCAGATCTCAGGTGTGGACCTACGCACTGCTTATCAAGCCATGCTGTAGCAGGTGTCTCACATATAAAATAGAGGAAGATGGTCACAGATGTTGGCTCAGGACCAATCTTCCCCAGCAAAAAAGAAGAGTATTGGTGGCAGATGTTAGCTCAGGGCCAATCTTCCTTAAAAAACAAAAAAATAAATGTATTAAAATATAAGAATAAAAATTCCACATGAAACCCTTTGACTCCTACAGTTCCACGTGTAGAAATCCACAACAGAAACAGTTGTTAAAATGCACAAAAATAGATATGTTCCAAGGACACTAAAGGCTGTATTGTAAAAACACAAAATAAGAAACACCCTAAATACCCATAAAGAGTGAAACATAAATTACCATACATCCATCCAAGGCAGGTATAAAAGAATTAGAAAGACCTGTAAGAATAGAGAAGGAAGGAAAGACCTATATATACTAACACAGAAAGAGGTCCATGGTGGGGAAAAAGTAGAAGAAACTGCAGAATAATAAGTATAGAAGGTTAGCCATTTGTAATGTTTATGGACATGTGTGTGTATAACAGAAGTGTGGACAGAAAAGGGCCTGCGAATACAAACAGCAAACTGTCATCAGCGATTACTTCTGAAGAACAGATGGAAAAGAACCACTCTAACTTTTAACTTTATATGATTTCAACTTTTTAATGATGATTATGTATATCTTTTATAAGTAAAAAATAAAAACCCATATAAATTAATTAGAGGATGGCTATACTCTGAGGAACTTCTCTGTATTAAACTGCTATTTACTTGTTATTATAGTAGAGAATTCAAGAGTCTAAAGTTCAGATACCTCTCAAACAATGCAACTGTTTTTTCAGTTATGCCACCGTAATAACTGAAGAATGAAGTATCACATGGGGCAGATGTTTGTGTTTTTTTATGAAGCAAAAGATTTTGCCCTGAGCTAACATCTGTTGTCAATCTTCCTTTTTTTCCCTCTCTCCCCAAAGCCCCAGTGCTTGGTTGTATATCCTGGTTGTAAGACCTCCTAGTTCCTCTGGGTGAGCCACCACCGCAGCACAGCAACTGACAGACGGGTGGTGGTTCTGTGACTGGGAAGCAAAGCTGGGCCGCCGAAGCAGAGCACGTGGGACTTTAACCACTAGGCCGTCAGGGCCAGCTCAACAAACGATGTTCTTCATTAACCAAAATCAAATCCTGATCTCAGTGAATCTGGTCTCATAGAATGAAACTTTCTTGGCCAATCTAAATCTAAGGTTTCAAAAAGGAGTGCTGGAAAGGACTGCAAATCACTGTAAAATCCAGTGAGAGGAGGTCTGACACCTTTTAGATTTCAGTCTCCAATCAGGAGTCCAAGATACATAAGATCTGCATCTTCTGCACTTATACTTACTAACGATACTAAGATAATGAGCAACACTAACTCTTTAAAAGAAATCCCAGGGCTAGCCCCGTGGTGTAGTGGTTAGGTTTGGCACACTCTGCTTTGGTAGCCTGCGTTAATGGGTTTGGATCCTGGGTGCAGACCTACACCACTCGTCAGCCATTCTGTGGCAGCGACCCACATATAAAGTGGAGGAAGACTGGTACAGATGTTAGCTCAGGGCTAATCTTCCTCAGGAAAAAAAAAAGAAATCTCACCTCCAATTCCAAAAGACAGTCATAAATCTCCAGAAACCAAGAGTGAACCGCTATTGTAATGATTGTTTCCAAAGCTAGTTCTCAAAGAATTTTAACTCTTCTCAGATAATTCATGCAGTTCAAAACTTTCAAAGCATTTTTTTCATTTCTTTCTTAGCAAAACATTAATTCTACTTAGTGAATAGACTCCAGTTGAGTTTCTTTTTTGTTTTGCAACCAATAAAAACCTCGTCTTTCCATCTACTGCCATAGAAAAACAACTGCCACCTTGCTTCTTGCTTCCTGAGAGTCCTTTTTTTAAAAAATTTGTTACATAAGTAAAACATATGTACTGAAGAGTACTTTCTGGTACGCAAAGTCCTATTATGATTGTACATTATTTTTCAAAGTCTCTTTGCTTATGTTAGTTATTATTTTATAAGTTTTCTTATCTACATTAAAGATTTTTAAATTTTTTTTTATTATTTTTTTTTTTTGGAGAGGCACTTGGCCTTGAGCTAACATCTGTTACCAATCTTCTTCTTTTCGGTGAGGAAGATTGTCGCTGAGCTAACATCTGTGCCACTCCTCCTCTATTTTATGTGGGACACCGCCACAGCATGGCTTGATGAGCAGTGTGTAGGTCTGTGCCCGGGATCTGGGCCTGCTGAAGTGGAGCACACGAGCTTAACCATATGCCACGGGGCTGGTCCCTACATTAAAGATTTTAAATTAACTTATTTATTCCTGACTTTACTTGCTGTTTTTCTTTATATTATCTCTAACTGTCACACTTTAGGGGAAAATGGTTAATCTTTAACAAATTTCTATTTCTTTATTTCTTGGATTACAGTGGTATACACATTCATAAAACTACCTCATTTATTTTTGTATCCTCCAATGTCCATTTCTTAAAAGTAGAGACACTGCCTTCCGTTGTTTATTGTATCAATTCATGCCAAAGGAACAACTCTGGTAGTGTGATTTCTTGTCTCCTGGAAATGACTTACATTTTTTGTAGCTCTCTTGGACACTTTGGGAATTTCAATTTGTCGAAGATTCTGTGAAACGTCTGCAATACTTTTATGTCTTATTAATGCATTTTTCCTTTTGAAAATAGAAACAGAACAGTCAACATACAATCAATTCAGGTTACAAAGCAGTTAAAGTAGAATGGAACTAGAGTTTAAAATAAAACATTATTTAAATAAAAGTTATCTTGGGGTTGGCCTGAATTTACAGCAAAACAAATCAACCTCAGAATTTCTAAAAGTGACTACTATAGATTCAATTAGTTATGAACAACGAGACGAATCAAGAAAAACTTAAAAAATAAGCTGAAACCCTAAGCTTATCTCATGAAAGGCTCCTAGTTCCTGGAGCCCCACATAGCAGTCAGGAAGGGCACTGTGGACTACACAATACATATTTGTCTATTCCTTGAATAATATAGAGTGTCAGATGCTCCTTGTTAGGAACTTCAACAACTGGCTTCTATGATTTAGAAATAAGGGCAACTATTAATTCCATCAATTATAGACAAAGACAACTGGACTACGGTTTAAACATGCCCCTTGGCAGAATGGTAACAGGGCAAGTAAGTTCTTTAATTCCTTGAGCTCCTACCTTCTCTTCTTAGCTGATCTGGTACGAAGGTCCTCTAGCTGGTCAGATTCAGTGCCACCCGACACTGATCTATGCGAACTTGACAGAAGAGGCACAGAAGGAAGGGGTGATTTGCTCTCCTGTGTCATGGAGTCATCACTGAAAAAATCCATAGGAAGGACACCAGCCAGCTTCGGAGGAATTGCAAACCCTAGGCTGTTGTAAAGATTTCCGAGTGTCTTTGGGATAGAGTCAATATACCTGTGGAACAGATTGGTTAAATATGGAACATATGGAACACCATTCCACCCTCCTTATGCCCTTCCTCATCCAGCATGAGAAACAGTCCTTACAATTCCATAATTCTAAGACAATAAGACATATGTAAGTTCTTGGTAAAATAGTTTTAAAGTTAAATTAGTAGGTATCAAACTTACAATCGCAAAATTTCCTCCAGAAACTTTGCCAGGTATGCCGAATCCTCAGTTAAACACACCATGCGCAGCAAATCTGCCACCTGAAGGAGATTTTAGAAAATTGCCGCCTGCCCTCTGCAGGGAAGCTGAAAGCATCCACGGCTACCCCCAGCGGCACTGGGCTGTATACTTGCCTCCTCCACTATCCGCTCCATGTCATCTATGCTTTCATGTGCTGAAGGGCACTGCAGGCACAGCTCCAAACGAAGAAACACCTGAAGCTGGCACCTGGAGAGAAAAAGAGACTCAGTCATTTCTCCTTTAAGTGCTGCTTAACTGAAAGCTCCTTCCTTAAGCATAGATCTGTTTACATAAGAAACAAGAACCGAAAGGGAGAAGAACCAGTGCTTTCTCTAAATGACGACATGGCTATTAGGTCAACAGGCGACTCAAACTGCACATTACAAGAGCATAAGGAACCCGTCACAAAAGCCTCTTCGAGCAATCGGCAACCTATTTTAAACTGATACAAGCACATCTTGGAGCTTTGCTTTATAGTGTGGCAAAAAAAAAAAGTCTTTACTCACTCTCTGACTTTATCTTCTTTATCCAGTTTTTTTCCTAGATTCTGTCGAAGACTTTTGCTAGTTTTTAAGAGGTTATTTTTTACTTGATTCAAGCAGTTCATCTGAAAATACAAAATTATTACATAGGAGAATATTAACTTATTTATCATTCTTTCTTTCACAGCTGACTAATGGCCTAAGAAGGGAAATAAATTCCCTTACAAATTTTCCCCTTCTTTCATTTGAATGAAAAATAGTGACATGAATATTCTTCTTTTATATCTTTAAAAAGAACATGGTAAAAGTATTTGAGAGTAAGTGGGCATGGATACAGCAAGTCTGCAGATTTGCACTTTCTTTAAAGGAAGACCCCAGAACGTAGTTATGGAGAAGTCTAAGTACTCTAAACAACTCTCCTGTCTGCTTTAGAGAAGGAGCCTGGCTTTCGCCACCAACCACAAATAAAAACGACAAAATGGTCTAAACAGTGGTTTGCAACATTCCTGTGCAGAAGAATCATCTAGGAAGTTTTTGCAAATATAGATGCCCCGGTCCCAACCCTGACAGATCTGTTTCAGTTGCTCTGGAGGGAGCCAGGCATCAGCATTTTACAAAAATGATCTAGGTGACTGTAAAGTGCAGCCAGAGTTAAGAACCAGCGGCTTAATTCATGCAGCTAGGACGAAGGTCGAGGTTTCTTTGGAAGAGAAGTACAGGTAATTACCACCCCCACCAGCTGTTTCCTTGATTTCTGCCTTTCCAGTTCACCACGTCCACCTCCCAAGATCTGGAACTGTGCTCACCCCTTGCTCATCTTATCATTTTTTAATCATACACTGCATAACCGACATTTCCCAGACACGTGAACCAAAGCCCCTAACAAGAACCAAGCACTACATCTATGACAAACAAGATCCGACTCTCTTACTTCTAACTCCTCGGCACCTCTGGCCTTGAGGAAGGCTTTAATGGTCGAGATCATGTTCTGAGCACCTGAGTACAACCTCATTTCTCCTGTGGCCACAGTCTTTTGGTAATTTTCATGTATGTAAGACAGTAGCTCCTCCTCAGTTTTAAAATCTGTGAAAAACAAAGACATATTGATCATCACACCGAGCCGAAGTCCTTGTATTATTTAAGGCAGTGGCTGTCAACTGGGAATTTCTGCCTCCAGGGGCTGTCTGGCTGACTGAGTCGTCACAACTGGTGAGCAGAGGGATGTTACTGGCATCTGGTGGGCAGAGGCCAGGCATGCTGCTAAACATCCTACAGTGCACAGGACGGCCCCACAACAGAGAATCATGAGATCCAAAACGTCAACAGTGTTAAGAGTGAGAAAGCACAGAGACAGCGATTAATTTTAAGGCTTTGCAAAACAAGTGTACATGTTATAAATTTAAGGGTAACCACTAATGGAAAAGAAATAAACTACATAACCTCCAAACCTAGAAGAAATGAAAAAGAGGAATAAAAAAAACTTGATTAATCCCATGGCCTGCTAGAAAGGAAAAGAACCAAGAGAAGCACAAACTAAGACACTAAAATACACCTAAGCTTATGAGTAATCAGAATTACAAACATTTATCTTACAAAAACACTTGCTGATTAAAAGATAGGAACTGTCAAATTAGATTAAAAAAGTATGCATTTATAAAGACTATACCCAAAACACAATGACAAAGCAACATTGGAATAAGGGAACAGAAAAAGATATTAAGCCAAACACTAACGAAAGGAAAGCTGGTGTAGCTATATTAATACAAGCAAAATAAACTTTAAAGCTTAAAGTTATTAGAAATAAATAAAAAGTTATCATTACACATTGACAAAAGATATAATTACAAGAAAGATATAAACAATTTTGAACTTGTATGAACCTACAAGAAAGCCTCAAAATATATAATGCAAAAGTTGGAGAACTGCAGGGGAATTTTGACAAATCTACATGGTGAAAGACTGTAACACGATATCTCAGTTATGGGTAAAAGCAGAAAAAAATAAGAATGTTGAATATTCAAACATTAATGAACTTGAGGTAATGGACATGCAAAGAAGCAAATACCCAGCTATTAAGAGAATATATATACATTATTTTCAAGTACATGTGGAATATTAACAAAACTTGACCACACATTAGACCAGAGTTTCAGCAAATATTAAAGAATCATTATCTTACAGAGTACATCTGTGCACAGTCCGAAAATACTAAAAACTAATTAAAAAAATAAAGCACTCCCTTATATTATGTATGTTAGAAAATATTTAGAACTGAGTATCAGTGAAAATGGAATATAGCAAACTTGTATAATGCAGTTAAATTTGTATTTAAAGGAAAAGTTACAGAGTTAAATTATCTTTTAAAGACAAAAAATTAAAAACCAAATAGCTAAGGGTCCAACACAAGAAATAACACAAGAGAGCAAATGCAAAAAATAAAGGATAAAATAAAGATAACATAAATGAATAAAATAGGGAAAAAACCCAAAAGATCAACAGAAGCAAAGACAATTCTTTGAAAAGCCAATAAAACAGAGAAATCTATATCAAGATCAAGCAATTAAAAAAAGAAGAGAGAGAGACAAAAATAAACAATATTAGAGATGAAAAAATAGGGGAAGGCCCCATGGCTAAATAGTTAAGTTTGCGCACTCCACTTTGGTGGCCCAGGGTTTCGCCAGTTGGGATCCTGTGCGCAGCCATGGCACCACTCATCAGGCCATGCTGAGGCGGTGTCCCACATAGCAGAGCCAGAAGGACCTACAACTAGAATATACAGCTATGTACTGGGAGGCTTTGGGGAGAAGGAAAAAACAGAGATTAGTAACAGATATTAGCTCAGGTGCCAATCTTTAAAAACAAAGAAATGAAAAAATAGAGCAGAATTTCAATTACTATTAAGAGGTATACGGTCGAGGTTCATTTTTTTCCATTTTTTGTCCAGTTGTTCCAGCACCATTTGTTGAAAAGATTATCCTTTTCCCATTGAACTACTGGAGCAACTTTGTCAAAAATCAATTTACCATTGTTGTGCAGGAACATTTCTGGAAATAATCTAGTCCCGAAACTGTTAATATCGCATCGTCTTGAGTACATACTGTTATTTTTGCTCTCTCTTAGATGTATCATCCACATTCTTCTACCTTTACTAGCTCATTAAAGATGCTGTCTCACTCAAACTGATTATCATCTATGGATCTAGTACTCCACAGGAAAAAAATCGTTAAAGGAGCAGAAAACTTTCACTCTAGAATTTTTAAAGGAACTCAAAGATGACATCATGCAACTTTTGCCCAAAGTTCATAACCCATTGTCACCAGTCATCCCATAGGACTGGCACTGTCAGTGTGAGCTAAGAATGTACCCCCAAAATAAGAGACTTACTGTAATTCAATCTATTTTCAAAAAAGAAAAGAGAACAAATAGGAAAATAAAAGCTACTGGATGAAATAATTCTGCCCAACTTTGAAAGATCTCAATAACCTCACCCTAGATTACTCACAAACACTTCCCCTTTATTCATAAATGCATAAAACTTCTTTAACCACTCATCCTACGGCCAAGCCCTGGCCCCTCCTCTTTGTGACTTTGCTTATGCCAGTCCCCCATCTAGCACACTGTTTTACCTTTCTGCCATCTGGACTCTGCTCATTCTTTTTTTTTTAGGCCAGGTTTGAATTTATTTATTTATTTGTTATTTTATTGAGGTCATAACAGTTTATAACATTGTGAATTTCAGGTCTACATTTTATCAGTTTCTGCACAGATTGCATTGTGCCCACCACCAATAGTCCAATTTTTATCCATCATCATACATATGTGCCCCTTTACCCCTTTCACCCATCCCCCAACCCCCTTCCTCTCTGGTAACCACTAATCTGTTCTCTTGGTCCACGTGTTTGTTTATCTTCCACATATATAAACTAGGCTCATTCTTCAGAGTCTAACCTGGGCTCCACTGACTGGCTCCTTAGAAGTCTCCCCAGCCTCTTCCAGCCCAAGACTGACCTCTTTTGTGATGCTTAGTATGTTTTTAACTCCCAAATGAGCAAGTAATTTCTCTTTTAGACTCTTGGCTCTCTTATGTATTAGTTTTTTAGTTCATTATATATATTACATATGTATCAATATATATGTGTTCTTATTGTTATCTTTGTTGCTGGATCATAAATCTAAGAAGAGGACATTATCTTCTTTTTATTGTATTCCCCATAACATACTTTTGGGCATGCAGATATTCAATAAGTGTTCATTGAGGGATATGATTAAAATTTATAAAAATATGAGGGTATAAAAGAGTAAACATAGAATTAGACACCAAAATGCTATGGAATTGAGGAATACCTTTAGGTTTGGAACTTCTTAGTGTCCTTCCTCTGTTTTCCAATTTGTCTGCTGTTCTTCCCCCAGCTGTCTTTTGGATCCCTTTCTCCCCAGCTGCGTCTGGACTGCCATCTGGATGTAACTTCTGAGCCTTCACGTTCAGCCTCGCAACATTCAGCATCTTTAAGGAACGGCACATGGTGTTCATCTTCTGTCTCACTGGAGTACGAGGGACGCCTCCTATCAAAATGACATGGGAAGAAACGTAAAACAACTTTTACTTCTATAGACTCAAGAACTACTTTAACTCAAATACAATATTCTGTGAAAGAATAGTGAAAAGAAGTATATCCTTCAGAATGAGCTGAATTAGGCAGTTAACTCTCCTTCTACCTACAACAAGGGTAGAAAGAGAGCTCTTCTTTTAACTGAAATCTAGGAACTAAACATGTCAATGTTATTAGATGATTTTTACATAAGACAAATGCCAAACAGACTCATTTTGGTGTTCCCAATGTCAGAGTTGTCATATAACTCTTCTGAAAGACAATTCAGCAGTCTGCATTAAGAACTACTTTTTTGCACTTTTTGATATGGTAACTTGCTCCTGGAAACTTACGCTAAGGAAATCACTCAGAGAATAAATCATATGCATGATGTATTATTTACAATGCTAAAAACTGAAAACAATCTAAATGTTCAACAAAGTAAGAATTTTGTAAATTTTGTTAAGCGATGAGGTGGAATAGTAACTAAAAAAGCAAGGTAGCAGATGAATAAATATTTTTAAGCAGCAAACAAAGCTGTATTTAAATTTATAACTAAAGATGAAAATGGTTCATTCATTAAGAAGGTAGGATTGTAGGTGATTTTTTTTATCAGTTTGTAATGATGTAGTTATTTTCACATCTGAAATATAAGAATTTGTCCTTCTTTATTCAGTTACCATTTCAAGCTCATTTTAGGGCATGCCAATCTTTTAAAACATACAGTCTCAAAAGACTGCCTTAAGACACAGCATTTCCATGTGCATACGTTTCTTTTTGCTCTCGTCCTGATTGGACACAGTGGATTCTTCACGAGACTTTGTCTGGTAGAGCTCGGAGAGGCAACGTGTTAATTCACTTTCAGTTTTGGAAGACTCTTCCTTATTAGACGAGGCAGCCTGTAGTAACCTGTGAACAAGTCAAGATGTCTAGTATAAAGATGAAATTCTGATTTTTCAAAATGCTTTAAAACAAACAAAATTCATTATCCTTTTAAAAGCTAATCAAAAGATGTACCCACAAGATGCCTTTAAAAATATGTTTTCTCAGGGCAGCCGGGTTGCGTAGTGGTTAAGTTCACACACGTTCCCCTTCTGCCCCAGAGCTCACGGGCTGGGATCCCAGGCAGACCCACACACCACTCATCAAGCCGTGCTGTGGTGGCGTCCCACACAGAAAAGAGAGGAAGATCGGCATAGATGTTCGTTCAGTGACAATCTTCCTCAGGCAAAAAGAGAAAGACTGGCAAGGGATGTTATCTCAGGGCCAATCTTCCTCACCCCCAAAAATATACATATATATTTACTCAGGAAGGAAAATGTTTTTCCTCTCATTTATAATTTGAAAAAACTCAGAGACAGAAGCTACCTGTTCAAAAAACTACTAATCATTACATACAGTGTTGACTTTTATTAAAAAGATTCTTCATGTCCTAGGGTACTTGCCTAATTACAGCAACTATTTCACTACTGGGCTTCCACAGTTGTTTTTCACTCAGTGTCTATATATTTTAACAAAATGATATGCAAAAATGATGTAATACAGTGTAGTAAGTATCACAAGGACTTCTGAATAATTCTTTCACATTGTAGCAAACTAATTTGGGATTGACGGGAAGAGGAGGAAATGGGGCAGGGGGACATTAGTCATTAAATGCTTTTCTACCTAGAGCTAAATGTCAGTCACTAAGGTAATTACAAAAATGGCACAACTTTCAAAATGTATTATTTGTATTTCACTCTCTCCCATTATCTGATATATGATTTAAAAGTGGGAGAAAGTTATGGTGACGTTACTTGAATCTGCTGGGGCTGTCAGGGTCACACATGCAGCAGGTCTGAAGCAGACTAATTTTCCCTAAATGTGCTAGTGTGTCCTTTAACAGGTGGAGGGCTTGCCATTTTAAAAAAAACTTACGAACCTTTCGAATACACAGAATATTAGAGAAAGCATTATTAAATAGACAAGTATGTACCTCCCACCAAGATTAAATACTTGTTGACAGTTTGCCATGTCTGCTTCAGATCTTTTTTTTAACGAAATTAAGCATTATAGACACAGAGAAAGCCCCACCTAATCTTTTCTCATCCCTTCCTCCCAGAGGTATTCTTAGGTTTGTGTGTATTTTATTTATAGAGACATACATACGTAACGAAACTAACATCAATTACTATCTTATACGTTGTAAATTTTACATAAATATCATACAATACCATCTTTTCGCAATTTTCTGTTTGTACTCAACATATTTTCATGTGCATATAAATACTCGTTTATTCAGCTTTACTGAATGTATACCGAGTTTAATCTATATACAATATTCTATTGTATAACTATACCACCGTTAATTTATCCATTTCCCTGCTGAGGGGTATCTACTTCTTTCCACTTTTTCACTGTAAATGACTGGCTATGAACATTCTAGTATAGTTCTCCTTGTGTTTGTGCAAAAATTTATTTAATAGACACTAGAAGTGGAATTGCTGGGTGTCATAAAGAGCATGTAAAGTTTCTGCTTTACTAGGAATACAAATTGTTCTCTAAAATGGTTGTAACTATTTACACTTCTATCATCCGAAGTGTTTTCATTTCCCTAAATTCAATTATCAGATTTGCTAGTTTCTGACAATCCAATGGGTATAAAACAGAATCTTGTGGGTTATTCTTATTGTGTGTTTTGTTTTTAAGATTGGCACCTGAGTTAACATCTGTTGCCAATCTTTTTTTTTTTCCTTCTCCCCAAAGCCCCCCAGTACACGGTTGTACATTCTAGTTGTAGGTCCTTCTGGCTGTGCTATGTGGGACGCCACCTCAGCATGGCTTGATGAGTGGTGCCATGTCCATGCCCAGGATCCAAACTGATGAAAGAAACCCCAGGCTGCTGAAGTGGAGCATGCGAACTTAACCACTTGGCCACAGGGCCGGCCCCTCTTATTGTGGTTTTAATTTCCATTTGCCTGAACTAAGTATCTTTCCAAATTACTGCTCTGTTGAATTTCCTCATGTGAATTGCTCATTCACATTCTTTGCCCAGTTTTCTATTGGATGACTTGTCTTTTTTTAAATTGATTTTTAGGAGCACTGTGCTAACTTGGACACTAATCCTTTGTTGGTTGCACAGATTACAGCTACCTGAGTCTAAGATAGTCTTTTTCACCATTCAGAAATTCTAAAATTCATTATAGTCATAGATGTTCCTTCATGGTTTGAATTTTTTATGCCTTATTTAAGAAATCCATTCCTAGCCTCATCTCCTCTTGTTTTCCTTCTTACAATTTTGAAGTTTTGTTTTTCACATTCGGATTGTTAATTTATTAGGAATTTATCATTGTGTATGCTATAAAGTAGAAATCTAATCTCTATCTTTTTTCTTCTGGATAGCCAATTGTCACACCACCATTTATTGCTGTATTATGCAAGTTTGCTATTTTTCCTTTTTACTGAGTTGAATACTAAATAGCGTCTGACATCCATAATATGAGAGCATTTTCTTTTTGTTAATTAATTTCTTCCAATTTTTTTCTTGTGGCAAAATAAACATAACATCAATTTATCACCTTAACTACTTTTAAGTACATAGTTCAGTGGTATTAAGTATATTCATAATGTGCCACCATCACCTCCATCCATCTCCAGAACTCTTTTTATCTTCTAAGACTGAAACTCCATACCCATTAAATAATACTCTCCATTTGTACTTAGTTTTTAGTATTAATCGACTGTACCTAGAAAATATGGTCTGTTAAAAGAGAAAAACAGGGTCCGGCCCGGTGGTGCAGTGGTTAAGTTCGCACGTTCTGCTTCTTGGTGGCCCAGGGTTCGCCAGTTTGGATCCCAGGTGAGGACATGGCACCGCTTGGCAAAAGCCATGCTGTGGCGGGCGTCCCATGTATAAAGTAGAGGAAGATGGGCATGGATGTTAGCTCAGGGCCAGTCTTCCTGAGCAAAAAGAGGAAGATTGGCAGTAGTTAGCTCAGGGCTAATCTTCCTCAAAAAAACAGGGGCCGTCCCATGGCTGAGTAGTTAAGTTCGTGTGCTCTGCTTCAGCGGCCCAGGGTTTCGCTGGTTCAGATCCTGGGCGCGGACAAGGCACCGCTCAAGAAGCCATGCTTAGGCGGCGTCCCACACAGCACAACCAGAAGTACTCACAACTAGAACATACAACTATGTACTGGGGGGCTTTGGGGAGAAGAAGGAAAAAAAAGATTGGCAACAGATGTTAGCACAGATGCCAATCTTTAAAAGAAAAAACAACACATGCAGATAACTGAAAGCTGATTTCAATAAACTATCTAGAGAAATAAGTCTTACCAAAATGACTCCATCAAATTTGAACTGGCGCCACTAAGGTTAGAATAAGAAAACCACTTCTCCATGACAGCCACACTCCAGGGAGCGGTTTGGCTGAGCTCCTGCTGGGCCCACTCCGGAACAGGAGGAGCTAGAGGGACAAAGGAGCACAGACGGGAGAGGAAGGAAAGGAAAAGAGGCATTAGAACCAAGGCAGAGAGTCCAAGCACCTGCTCCTCCCTTGGACTGACATTCTTCCAAAGGACATACAAAGTGGCACCATTAACAACATTCCTTCATCTGCACCACCAGCTCCAACCGGGCTATGTCATCTATGAAAAATACTACTCCAAAAACGTAAACACAGGCTTCCTCGCTGTTCCTCAACCACACCAGACACACACCTTCCCAGAGCCTTGGCACTCGCTGGTGCCTCTACCAGGAATGTTCTCTCCCCATCACTACCTTCAAGCCTTTGCTCAAATGTTACTTTTTCAACAAGGCCTATTTAAAATTGCACCCTCCCACTCCTTAACACTCTCCATTCCCTCCTGCTTTATTACCATAGCACTTCTCACTTTCAAATATACTATATAATTTCCTTATTTAGTTTATTGTCTTATCTCCCCTGACTAGATGACAGGCTCACGAGAACAGAGACCTTTGTCTATTTTGTTCTCTGATGTATTCCCAGGACCTAGAAGAGGGCCTGACATATAGCAGGCCCTCAATAAATCTGTTGAATAAATGAATGAATGGAAGAAACATCAAATTGATTACATTTATATCCACCTAGCATAAATAAGGTTTGTATTATATTAGTAACAATACAACAAATCAGAAGGTATAAAAAATCATGACAGTTTTACACACAGTCTTTATTAAATATATTAAAAACCAGGTTTCAAGGGCCAGCCTGGGGCACAGTGGTTAGGTTCGCACATTCCGCTTCAGTGGCCCAGGATTCACTGGTTTGGATCCCAGGTACAGACCTACAACACCGCTTGTCAAGCCATGTCGTGGCAGGCGTCCCACACACAAAGTAGAGGAAGATGGGCACAGATGTTAGCTCAGGGCCAGTCTTCCTCAGCAAAAAAAAAAGAGTAGGCTAGGCAGCAGATGTTAGCTCAGGACTAATCTTCCTCCAAAAAAACAAACCAGGTTTCATCTTATGACTTTAATTTCAAATTGGTTTCACAGAAGCTTTGGTTTCCTCAGAAGTGCTTAAAGACTTCTATAAATAACGATGATTTAAACTGCCTGAAGTATTGTATCTTGCTTTTATCTGTTTTATAACATACTGGGGTTCTACTAAGAGCACAGTGAGAAAAAAGTTCTGATGCCAGAAGAGACTGTAAACCTCCGTCCAGTCTATGTTAGTTATTGATTCAGAAGCTTACCAGAAGTAGCAGGATCTCCAAGTGAATTGTGAATCTGACTGAATACTCCATCCACCACATCAGAAAAAAAGGAAGCTGTGTCCTGGGGGCTCTCTGCCACAACTGTTTGGAGAAAATGTCTTTGAAATTCAGCCTCCTCTGTGCGGAACACAGTGAGAATTGCAGCATTGGTAGAGAGGGGGGAAATAACTCCAGTGATGGGGGACCAGCCTTCACCAGGGTCCACACTGGCAACCTAGAGAAGAAGTTCTAATTAGTTGAGAATAGCGTTGTCATATGCCTAAAGGAGAACGTAGCTTAGTAAAAAGACAGAATGACAGTTTACCTAACAATTATTAATATAAAAGAGAAAACTGTGGAAAAGACAGACTTGATGGGTATTAGGGCTAGAATTGAATTTACTGATCATATAGTCCTAATCCCTTAATTTACAAATAAGAAAAACCTAAGGTTACCAAGAATATTTACTAAGTACTTATTATGTGCTTATTATAACTCACTGAACCCTCACCACCACTCTGAGGGAAAAATGATTATTATCCCCATTCTACAGAGGGGGAATTGAGGCTGAGGAATAAGTAACCTGTTTAAGGTCACCCAGTTAGTAAGATGCAGAAGCCCAATGTGTCTGACTTCAAAACCCATGGTGTTAACCATGAGGCAACACCACCACGTAAGAGGTTTAGTCATGCGCTGCATAACAACATGTTGGTCAATGACGGACTGCACACACAACGGTGGTCCCATAAGATTAGTACCATGGAGCCTAGGTGTGCAGTAGGCTAGAGCAGCTGGGTTTGGATAAGTGCACTCTATGATGTTTGCACAATGACAAAATTGCCTAACGATGCATTTCTCAGAACGTATGCCCATCATTAAGCGACGCATGACTGTACCCAGATCACACAGTGGGCAGCAGAGCTGAGACCTAATCCAGAACACCTGATACCCCGGCCCAGCGCTCTTTCCATCAGAGCAACAACTCTTACAATAATTTCTGTTCAGATGACTACCCAGTTTTTCTCTAGAACGTTTTGCGATGGGATCCAGAACATAGACACCTTTTGCAGTTACAAAGGCACAAGACAAAGTAAGGTGAGCAATGTGCTGGAAGTTTAAAAATAACCCTCACCTTTAAATCAAATCCGGGTTATCTGTGCGTTTCCTTTCAGAAGACACAATAGGACATTTAAAAAATAATGAGAAATCACCCATCCCTTCACCACCCAAACATAATCATTCCATTTGCCCCCCTGCGTTTTTTCCTATGTGAATATAATTTAACTTAATTGGATTCAAGATACATGCAATTTCATAAACTGTTTTTTCACTAATGAGCATTGCTGTCACGATGCTATGATGAAGACAATGTTATCTGCAAAAACATATTAGTTTCACTGAGACTACACAGGCATACCTCAGGGACATTGAGGGTTCAGTTCCAGACCACTGCAATAAAGCAACTATCACAATAAAGCGAGTCTCATGAATTTTTGGGTTTCCTAGTGCATATAAAAGTTTTGTTTACACTGTACTGTAGTCTCTTAAGTGTGCAATAGCATTATATCTTTAAAAAAGTACATATTTTAATTAAAAAAATACATTATTGCTTAAAAAATGCCAACCATCTGCTGAGCCTTCAGCGAGTCATAATCTTTTTGCTGGTGGAGGGTCTTGTAAAAAATGCAATTTCTGTGAGCGCAATAAAGTGAAATGCAATCAAACAAGGTATGCCTGTAGCATGTAGGGCAGTGCTTGGCATTTCATAAGCGCACTTATTTCGCTTTACCAGTGTGTTATTGGACAAGAATAACTTAGCACGTAGACGATACCTACCAGGTATAACTCATCAGCAGCCAGCCTGCTCACCAGCTGCTGAAATAACACCCTCTGAGCTGATCTGTCCTCCAGACTGTGCAGCATCCAGCTATCAGTGCCCACGGTGCTGCTCATTGGGAGAAACCAGTGGGCCACTGTGCCTTTTAGAAAAATTCTGACTGGTTTCTGAAAATGTCTCTGATGCATGGCCAAGGGCTCTAGGATGACTGCCCATGTTTCTTGAATCTCTTTGCCTATTAGAAATAGAGAATATTAAAGTTCTAATATAAGAAATAGTTATCAAAAATAGATTTAACACTAACAAGAAAAGATTAAATTGTCCATTGAGGTGCTAGTGCTGTCACTTAGCTCTCACCTCTTTCTATGGCCAACAGGCTAGCCCAGCAAGTTCACTCCGTTCTACGGGAAAAGCTGTATATGAACGGAATTACAAGGGCGTGACTCAATGTCAGAAGTTCTCAATAATCATGACTTAGAAATAAGTATTCAAGCAACACTCACTCCTTACAAAAAAGAAGACTCTGGTTCTCAAATCCATAAAATACAGTGCATTGTGTCTTCTGAGGAGGTTAAACTCTAAAGACTGTGTATAATGAAACTGCTTAAAAAAAACTACTCTTGAAATGTCCTTAAACTGCACATAATGTATAACATAGTTTTATGCATAAATCCCTACATAGTTATTACTTCCGTAGGAGTATATAATGTGCTCAGAAATGAGATTCATTATATGGTGAATCACATGGTAAAGCAAATTTATGAAGGTTCCAACATGCTGGCTCTTCCCAGTAACAAGCACCATTTTCAGCTTCTGTTGACTAATTTCTTATTTCTTCTCTTAGTCAATCATTGTTTCTCTGTGGTCTTCAGTGTATTAATCTCTTCTGTGAGGCAACGAAATCTTATTAGCTGAGGCACTTGAACAAAACTATCCTTCTTTTCAAACACTTAGGAAAGTCTCTAAAATCATTCACTTGTTCTTTTTATATGGCTGGCAGTTGTGCACCAGAGTTCAATCCTTTCTTGTGGTATTTCTGATTTTGCTTAGACATTTTTTTCTTGGTGAGGAAGATTGGCCCTGAGCTAACATCTGTGCCAATCTTCCTCTATTTTGTATATGGGTCACTGCTGCAGCATGGCTTCATGAGTGGTGTACGTCTGCACCTGGGATCTGAACTCAGGAACCCTGGGCCACTGAAGCGGGGCACGTGAACTTAACCACTATGCCACCCGGCTAGCCCTAGACATCTTTTAATTCTTTCAATTACAAGCATTAATTGAGTGCCTAGGCTGCTGGAAATTCTAAAGAAGTTAAAAGCATGGGTCTGAGGCCGACCCAGTGGCACAGTGGTTAAGTGCACACGTTCCGCTTCTCAGCAGCCCGGGGTTCGCTGGATCAGATCCTGGGTGCAGACATGGCACCACTTAGCAAGCCATGCTGTGGTAGGCGTCCCACATAGAAAGTAGAGGAAGATGGGCATGGATGTTAGCTCAGGGCCAGCCTTCCTCAGCAAAAAGAGGAGGACCGGCAGCAGATGTTAGGTCAGGGCTAATCTTCCTCAAAAAAAAAAAAAAAAAAAGCATGGGCCTACCTTGAAGAAATGAATGTACCTATGACCCAAAAACTCCCCAAAATATTATTTTCCTACCTTCGACAGGGAGAAATAACGTTCCTTCCATCGATGGAAATGAAGCTTCATACTCAGGAGAATTATAGAGCAAACAGTTTAAAGTGGAGTCAGCTGGCAGAGCTGAAATCCAGGAAGAGAGGAGAGGCGCACACAACAGCTTTCTTTTGCTGCTGGGCAGTGTCTCCCCAGCTTTAGTGACATCCTGGCTGAAAGTGTCGGCCGGCAAGATGGTGCCTCCTACGTGGTGGAGCAGTTCACACATTGTCCAGTACCCAAGGTGGTCTGGGGACTCCCACAACTAGAATAAAAATTACAAAGAACCTCAGGTTACTGTAAAGGAGGCACTCATAAGTGAAGCTAAGGGAAATCAGGAGAAAGGAAAGCTGGTACCTACATTAAAGGATCAAACCACACAATGAGCGTATTTCTTAACCCAATCACAAGTAATGCCAGCACCCCATTACTCTACAGCCCAAGAATATATTTACTACATAATATGCCTTCAAGAAAGTGTCCACTTAGTGAAAAGAGCACTTGGATCCTATTTTTTCGTCAAGGAATAGAAGTGATGCAAGTCGCTGGGGATAAATCATAAAATGTTAGAGTCAGAAGGAATACAAAACCAGGATACATGAGTAAAAATAATTCTGTCCTACACAACGAAACACAACACTAGCTGGGGATGATGGAACCATCGCTGATGTGCCCACCCCAGGGGACTATGGGGACCAAAGAGGTCTTCCCAGTCCTCCCGTCATGCTCCCGCCAAAGCCCTTGTCATCTCTTGCCTGGACTCTTACTGTAGCTTCTGAAGTCTGTGTCCTGCCTCTAATCTTTCCCCTACGTGGCTCTAAGAAGCATCCTTCCAAATCACACATCTGCCTATCTGTTCATTCTGTCAATCTTACCTGTTTAATCTACCTTACCCCCTAAAAAGTACACTCCACGAGGGCTGACCCCCACATCCCCAGCACCTGATACAGCGCACAGTAGGCGCGCGACGTAGTGGCTTCTCAAGGAGTATCTGTTGACTAAATGGAGCGACAGGAGGAAAACGGTAAAAACACATCCTTGTCCCGGCACTTAACTGGAGCAGGGGCCGCATGGTCTCAAGAAAAACCCAAATCAGCCCTTTAGGACTGGAGGTACCTAAGAATTGATTCATTAGGTCAACGATTATCTACCCAACACGGACCATGTCCAGTACACATCTGGAGGAGATGCAGAGACGTCAGACCTGGTGCCCAGGTATCTGAGACGAAAGGGAAGACGAGAGATGCGCGCAGCTGGGACATCCTGGGGAAGGGGGACGTGCGGCACAGAGGGGACGAGACGCAGAGGTGGGGACGGGTGGTGGCCACCTGGGCAAAGCCTTACAGGATGGGGAGGGTTAGGCCGGCACAGAAGGGGAGCCCCGCATTCCAGGCCCCCGATCGGCGCAGGACAAAAGGGGGCGGCTCCAGGATGTTGGCCCGGGGCCGCGCAGAGGCCAAGTCAAGCCTGGGTGAGAGCCCCCTGCCCGCGTGGACTCTGCAGGTACCGGGCCCTGCGGATCTCAGCGTGTGCCGTCTGCTCGCGACCACAGGCCCTTCCCTCTGAAGGGACCCACACCGGTCCCGCTGGGGGTCTGGGGCCGCCGCTCGGGGTCCCTGCCAACCCACCTGCGGCCGCTCGGTGGTGTCCACCCAGTACAGGGTGACCCTGCGGGCGCCCATGACTTCCTGCAGCTTCCTGGGCAGCAGCTGCTCCAGGACCTGCGCGGGGGCGGGCGGCGGGCGCTGCGCCTGGGCCTCGCTGCCGGCCACGAACTGCAGCAGCTCCCTCCGCGAGTGCGGGCAGGGCGCCAGCAGGAAGACCCCGTGCGCGAAGCCCCCGAGCGCGCCCGCCGCCTCCCGGGCCTCGCCCTCCACGTCCAGCAGCCTCCTCCCGCGGCTGCGCAGCGCCGGCTTCGCGGGCGACGAGAGCTCGGGCCGGTCCCACTGGTAGTCCAGCAGCGCCTCGGTCAGGGCTCCGCGCGTGTGGGCGGCCCTGGGCGCTGGGCCCGGCAGGTGGCCGCCGGGGGCGCCGGCTGCGAGCCTGGCCTCCAGCGCCGCCTCGAAGTCCTCCCAGGAGCGCGCCCCCAGCTCGCGGAAGTCAGACGCGCGCGACGGTCGGCCCCGCGCCCCCTGCGAGTCGAAGAACTTGAAGGTCCAGCGGACCCTGGCCAGGCCGAACCGGCAGCTCAGGTGCGTGAGGAGGCGCAGGGCGGCCCGCCGGCCCGGGCTCCGGCCCGCGGCCCCCCCCGCGGTGTCCAGCAGCAGCAGCACGTTGTGACAGCAGGCCATGGCGCCGCGCGCCGCCCTTCCCTAGGCCCGGGCTTCAGGGAGCCGGCGCCATTCACTGCTCCCCTCAGGGGCCCTGCTCGAAACGCTCCCGCGCTCTTCAAGAGCTGCTGCCATTGGCGGAGCCAACTCCCAAGGTCAGCTCCTATTGGTCGCTTGCCTTACGTGTGTTACGTAGGCAACTTCCATCCTTGACGCTGATTGGAAGGGCGGTGGAGCAAGCCCCTTCTTGATTGGTGGAGGGTGTGACTGTGGGCGGGGCGGTCAGCTCCGAGAGAAACTTGACATTCATTGGCCCGGGCCCTTGTTTTAAAATTTAAAGAGATGGTGCTTCGGAGGCGTGTCGTGAAGTTTCGCTTCTGGGAAGGAGGCTGGCGTTTGGGCGACTGTGCGCAGCCGTGAGTGCGGGCTGCAGGCAGAAGGGAATTTGGGATGGTTGAATCGAACTGGTTGGAAGCCACCCCAGCCTTTCAGTGGAGTAAAATCTGATGGTGAAGGCTTTGATTTTCTGTCATTTAAGAAACAATTATTAAAAATCAAAAGTTAACTCCCTTTGCCCCAGTAACTTATAGGAGTTTCTCTGAAGAAGGTAATCAGAGATCCAGATAAAAGTCGTATGTACGTTATAGAGTTTATTTGACTTGAGAAAAATTGGAAACAGCTTGAATGGGAAAGATTAATAAGGTATGGTACACCCCCGAGGGGAACATCGTGCAGCTTTTTAAAATAATGTTTTTATACGTAATGTTAGATGGGGAAAAAAGAGCGCAAAACAGCACATGCAGTGAGATCTCCGAATTTTCTATCTATATGTATATTTTTTTAATGTCAAGATAATACTGTGTACTGGAAGTCGTCTTTGATTGTGTCTGGGTGGTGAGATTGTGATGTTTAATCATAATTTTCTTTACACTTTAATGAATTGTCTAAATTTTCTACAATTCTCCATTTCTATATTACTTTTACATTAAGGGGAAATATCCTTAATAAATAAAAGGAATCCCCTTGTTGCAAACAGAAGAACCCTCAACAGTACATAAGCTTGTGACACTAGATGGGAGCAGTTCCTGTTATTGTTGATAAAAGCAGAGAAGAATTTAAACTCTCTCCAGCCAGCAGTGGCCCACCTTTAAATTTCCTTCCAATCTTGGGATTCTCTGAGCCAATTGTTTCAAGAAAGACCACTGCTGATATTGTGTAGTTTGTCCACGAATAAAATAAATAACATTCTGGATCCACCCACGGTCATTTTAGAGCAAAAAGCATGTTAATCTTAATGTGTCTGGCACTTGTTAAAAACGTCCACACCTGTTGTGTTGTTTATCATTCATTCAACAAATAGTCATTACAGGGAACAAAATAGATAAATATCCCTCCCTTCAGGAAGCTTATATTCCAGTAGGGGGAGCCAAATAATAAAATAAATAAGTAAAAGATATGGTATCTTTTATTAAGGGCTAAGGAGAAAAGTTAAGCAGAAAAAGGGGGTAAGGAGTGGGTGGGGCTGTGCCGTTTCAGGTGGGATGGTCAGGAAGCCTCAGTGAGGTGATATTTCAATAAAGACACTTGGAGGGAAGGGAGAGAGCCCTGTGGACGTCTTTGAGAAGAGGGTTCCAGGAAGAGGAAACAGCAAGTACAAAGGCCCTGAGACAGGAGTTTGCTCCCTTATCCTCCAAGCTCACTTCTTAAGAGTTATTATTAAGCTCTTTCTTTTACAAATAGAAGCAACTGAGGCTCAGAGCAATTAAGAATCTTCTCCATGATTACATACACAGCAGAGCCATGAATGGAATCAAATTCAGAATCCGAAAAGTAAGTTCCCAGGGTACAATGCCTGAAACCTAGATTGAAAAATCAGCTTCATAAGGAAAGACTCAGAACACTTTTTAAGAGTGAAGTTGACTGGTTAGATCTTTGTTTAGAACAATGACAGAGATCTGGCTATATAATCTCCCCAGATCAACAATCTCCCTTAAATATTCATTTGATATTTGTTTCCCTTTCTCTCCCTTGTTTCTACCCTTTATTTAGTGAAAAGTTATTGCCTATCTGCCTGCTCTTAGTGGCAGTGAGAGATGGATGTAAAGAAAGAATAAGCCTTAATATTTGACCCTAGAGGGAATTAAAAGCAACAATACATAATGCTTTAGAGATAATCTAACGATAAACTGAATGTTTAGTATTGCCAAAAGGAAGAAACCATCCCAGTGAGTTAGTGTGGCAGATATGCGACCCTAACACTGGACTGCGAAGGGGGAGAGTGTGAGAAGCATTTTATCACAGGTGGAAAATCTGGATGCCCTTAGGCACCAGGCAGGTAAAGGAAATGTGACACTGTGGGCATTAGTGATAAATAGGAAATGTCTGTTTTTGATTTTTTTTGTGTCTTACCAGAGAAAAGCCTAAGGCACTGAACTGTCCAATTAAATACTGAGAAACTGGCCCCACCATCCCCTCACTGGAGAATATCATCATCAGAGCAATAGCTAGTTTATTGAGTAATCACTATGTATGGGGTGGTGTTCTGCAGAGATTTCATAGAGAAGGTAAACATTTAACTAGGTTTTTGTAGTTTGTCAGCTGTAAAACAATACATAGATTGTAAGATACCCATTATTTTATGTTACACTGAAAGAGACAAATTCAGCCAATTGCAGTAACACAATGCTTTCTAGTCACTTGGAACGTTTTGATTTATATTTGAAAGAGCTCCTTTAGATTTCTGTAGACATAATTTTTTCAAAAATCATTTATCACTCTTGCACGTATGAAAGAAAAAGAGAAGATAAGCAAAATTAATTGGCTAAGGTATTCCTAAGACTTCACATCCAGGATCTCACTCTTCTGAATTGCTTTTCAATCAATCATCAGTGTCCATCTTTTTGTACGATTTCGTTCTCTCTGCCATCAGGAGTGTTGGCAATGAACATTTCTCAAAAGAGTGCTCCACTGTTGTCTCTGGCATTTACTTTCAAACCACTTTCACCCATTCTGCAAGTTTTGACAAAACACTCTAACCATGACACCCACTTCACTATCTCTCAGTGGCCAACAAAATTGTTGTAAAGGAGAGAAATAAGGTGTGGTAACCAGGGGAGATGAGGAGTTTAGAAAAAGTTTTTTTTTTTTTTTTTTTTAAGATACATTACAGAGTCCAGCCCTGTGGCCAAGTGGTTAAGTTTGCATACTCCAATTCAGGGGCCAGGGGTTTGCTGGTTTGGATCCTGGGCACAGACCTAGCACTGCTCATCAAGCCATGCTGAGGCAGCATCCCACATAGAGGAAGTAGAAGAACCTGCAACTAGGATATACAATTATGCACTGGCGGGCTTTGGGGAGAAAAAAAATCAGAGGAAGACTGGCAACAGATGTTAGCTCATGGCCAATCTTCCTCACCAAAAAAATTGATATAATTTTTTTTAAAAGATACGTTACAATGTTTGTATATAGTTGGGAATGATCAAAAGCGAATGAGAATCTTGGGGTGGTGGGTAGTGGTTGAGTTCGCGCACTCCGCTTTGGCAGCCCAGGGGAAGAATGTGAGTGAAAATCTGATGACACAGAAACAGGGAGGGGAGGGAGATGATTGCAGCTGTGCAGTGGCTCTGTCTCTGGGAGGATCTCTTTATGCTGAAGACCATGGTCTCTGTGACAGCCTTAGGGTTCTATTACTAAAGGGAAAAAGGAGAATGGGTATTGGGGAATAACTAGCAGCCCCAGACACACCAGGATTTGGTGTTGCTGGGCAAGAACCACTAGTGAAAGAGAAGGGTGAGGGGTCTGAGGATGTGCACTAGGGAGAGGTTGTAGATTAGAAATTATTTCAGCTGCAAGGACAGAAAATTTGACCACAACAGTTTAAACAAATGGAACTTTTTCCCCTTTACATAGCAAGAAGATTGGATATCAGTAGTGTTGGTGTGGGTTCATTGGTTGAATGATGTCAGAACTGACAAGTGTGCCATGCTTCTGCTTTTTCCACATGCTCATAATCACAAGAAAGCTGCATACGCCCCGTTGGTATTCAAGGTAGAGAGGAGAGCATATCCCCCAGCAGGAAAGCTAAGCTTTCACAGAAACCACTCCTACCTTCAGATATTGACTTCAGTCTCATTGGACTGAAATGGGTCACATGGCGACCCATAGCTGCAAGGGAGGCTGGGAAATTGGAGGAGACTGTCACGATCAACTGAAAGGTATGGTGTTAGATGGGTCATTTACACAGATGCTGAAGTTATCAAGAATGATGACAGGGCAGTGGTGGAGAGAGAGAGTAAGCCAGTGGCCAAGATGTTCAGTGAATGAAGAAGAGATCTGCAGGTGACTGTTACAAGAAGACAGGGTGTAGTCTTATGTAAATTATTTCAAAGTGGCTGGGGCTTTATGGAGGAGGGGAAAGGAGGACAGCCACCCCCACCTCCAGGCCAAGTGGAATGAGGGGTGTGACAGGGACAGTAGCCCTTACTTGAGGAGGCTCCAGGGGAAGTGCTGTCTGCAGGGATTAGCCAGTTTCCAACAGGGCGGAGGAGAAGGGAATATTCAGGGTAGAGGCTGAGGACATAGGAGAGTTTGTTAATGGTACACTGCCATCCAGAAGACACCATAGGGAGGTCAAGAAAGAGTGGGAGATGGGGTCAGTTTAGGGGATAGACAGAGCTGTAAGGGATTAAAATCCAGGTACTGCAGATGATCCGGGAGCCTTGGTAAAAAGGGTCATGGGTTCAGTGCAGAACTCAGAGACCACTGTAGGTATTTGAAACAAGGATTTAATACAGGGGGTTGTTATCCTGAAGTGGGAGGAGGCAGCCTCTCCGTGGTAAGAGGACTCTGCAGCTGCAGAAGGCAGGTCTCTTGTTGGGTGCTCACAGCTGAGGGTTTCTCATCTGATGGTTTTAACTTTTTCTGAGGAAGGAGGCAGGGCTGAGTGCGGGGGTAGATAAATGCGTGGGAGTCAGAGGAAACAGAAGGTTGGAAATGGCTGTTGCAGAGTGAGAGCAAGACAGCCAGGGGAACATGCTCACAGCGTTGGGTCATGCTGAGGGGCCTGGCTGTACCTTCTTTCTTGCTCTTCCTGCGTTCCCCAGACAGAATGAACACAGCCGTTTCTGTGTTCCCATTACATTTTTTTTATTGGAAAAATTCAAGAACAATCCAACAGCATAGACTTTCTACCAGAAAAAAAAAAAAAAGCATATTGAAAGAAAGCAAAAATCTAACCTGGGCTGTGGCTTTCATACTTTTGGTTTAAAGTAATAATTGGATTACACCTGTTTTCAGTTGGCTGAACTGTTCCAGAATTAAAAAAAAAAAAAAGTGTGTGCTTTTGCCACAACTAATAAGCTCAAGATATATATATAGATATATGGCGATACATATATATATGTATGTATATTTGGCAGGAATGATTCGCTTTGAGCTAACCTCTGTTGCCAATCTTCCTCTTTTCTCTTTTTTTTCCCCCTAAAGCCCCAGTGCATGGTTGTATATCCTAGTTGTAAGTCCTTCTGGTTCTTCTATATGAGCTGCTGCCACAGCATGGCTACTCACAGACCAGTTGTGTGGTTCTGCATCCAGGAACCGAACCTGGGCCCCTGAAGCAGTAAGAGCTCTGAACTTTAACCACTAGGCCATCATCAGGGCTGTCTCTAAGCTCAAGATATTTTAATCAAGATGAGAGAGAGAAAAAATAGCCAGAATGAATTGAGGACACGTCTAATTACACTTGGAGCTCAATGCAATCAAATAGATTTAAAAATTGCCTCTGTGTGTATATGTGTGTGTTTGGCACCAAAAAAGTCACAAAGCTTGAACTGAGAAAAATAGTATTTGTTTGGATGAAAATAATGACGTACGGACCTACAGGATCTTACATAGAGTGTAATAGATGGTAAGACCCCAAGAAAGCCGTAACCTCTTATGGACCTACAAGTGAAGTCAGGCAAGAGAAAGGAAAACCAGG